TTTTTTTTGGTAAAGCATAATGTTCTGAAAATAAACACTACCATTAATGAACCCAACCCAACCCACACCCATCAAGTTCATCCCAACTCAGTAGCAACCTTATCTCCGAGACTGCAAGTCTCCATGGGAGCAGACAGCCTCATGGTCCTCCCATGGAGCGGTGGGTGGGTTTGAACCGCCGACCATGTGGTTAGCAGCATCTCATCCATTATTGAGCATTCCAGTGTGGGAGAGACTGGTTTGCTTCTCCTAACCACAGTGCTGGGCTTACGAGCACTGTGCAGGGATGTGCCCAGAGCCCCTTCTCAGCCAGTCTTCTTGACATGTTCCTGGGGGGCCGGGCTTCACTCCTACAGCCTGGTCACTCTTTCCTTGCCTGTGCTCACCTTAAGAGTCAGTCTCTGGAAAGACATTTTTTTACCTGTCCTCAGTCTGTGGTTCCAACTATTCACATAACCATGGCCCCGAGAGAGGCAGAAACCTTTTTGGGGGATGGTGAGTCTTTATTCAGGCTTGTGTGCTAGCATCATTGAATAGTGAGGAAAAAGACCTCAGGGACCCTGGCCCTTTGAAAAGAGCCCTTTTCACTGTTTCTAAGTTTGGCATCTATTGGTCCTTTCAGCTACAGGCAGGCACACCCATATCTTTGACTGACATCCCCGGCTTGGGGATGAGGCCCCATGGGGTCCCCTTCATTCCCTGCCCTGGCCCCACTCTCACAGTACAGGCTGCCCCTGACTGCTCATACATGGACTGTCACTGCCAGGCTTCTGGGGATAGGGGGTGGGGGTGCATGTGCTCAGTTACCTATCCTAGAAATCAGTCCTGCCAGGTGGGTGCTCTGCAAAAATTCCCCCATTCTGTGAGCCATCTCTTCATCTTTTTGATGGTGTCCTTTGAAGCTTGACATCTCCCCACATCCATGCAGGGCTGCCAAGAGAAGAGGGTGGCAGCAACCTGTGCATTTACATGTGTGCACGTCCATTCTCCCCCTGCGCCCATCCAGTCAGGTAAGGTGAGTGGAGCACTGGGGGAACAGCTACCCAGGAGTTAGGGTTTAAATGGCCCTAGGTGGGAGCCTGGTGACAGAGTGAATACTAATGAACTGCCAAGGCAGAAGTTCGAAACACCAGCCCCTGCCATGGGAGGAAGGCAGGGATTTCTACTCCCATAAACAGTTACAGTCTCAGAAACCCACAGGGGGCAGTTCTACCCTGTCCTACAGGGTCACTGTGAGTTGGCGTTGATCCCACAGCAGGGGTCCTCAAACTTTTTAAACGGGGCCAGTTCACTGTCTCTCAGACCGTTGGATGGCCAGACTATAGTTGAAAAAAAAAAAACTATGAACAAGTTTCTATGCATGCTGCACTTTTTTTTTTTTAAAGGGTGGAGACAGGCCCAGTCATGGACACAGTGGCCTGCTGGGCCTCCTTGCTTTATTAGTTTCCAGCCGATCAATTCAGAAAGTTGGAGAGGGTGAGGCGGGAGAGGGTGAGGCCGCCACCAGGAGCTCTGGACGTACTCTCCTGGGGCAGGCTTGGCAGGTACAGACGGTGGGACAAGACCTCTCAGGCCTCAC